GTTACCACAAGTGGGATGAGTATGCTAGTCCTAGTTTATTGGTCATAAGCTCAAGGAACCATTTCCCTAAGGAGATGAGGAGTTTTTATCTGCGAAATTTTGTTCTTGTACTATTATTTAGAAGCAGTGTAGGCTTTCTCTTTCTACAATTCAGGACCAAGTAGATCTAATTAGTGTTTATTACCCCAAAGTGAGGGGCTTGTTTTCTAATCCCTCTGACTTCTCTACTAGGTTCTCACTTCTACAGATCCCATTGTGAATATTAACATATGTTCTAAGGTTAGATATGTAAAGGGTTGAGAAATGCTTGAAATTAAGTAAGTCCTTATTTTATCTCCTACTTAGTTTGCTGTGTTTCTGTCATTTCATCTTCCACAACATTAATCAGAAGATCAGTGAGTGAATTCAGTATTGAACAGAATCAGGGAGGCCACATCTCTGCAAAAGAGAGACCCTGTATCGGAGTCACTCATGCCCCACAGGAAGGAGTCCACCATGAATTGATAATGGATAGAGAGATGGGAAGTACATCAGTGTCTGAAAGTTGCCAAGAGATTTTACCCTACTAATCTTGGTTGGGGGTCCAGTGAGAAAATGAACAAAGCTAGTAATGCTAGCATTAAATGTTTAAAATTTTCCGTCTGACACATGAAAGTGACCCCATGGGAGAAGCAGACTAGCCAGCTCTCAAATGGAAATATTAGTGAGTGAATTTAGAGTTTGGGGAAAGACCTAGGAAACATGGTACAAGGAAATCTGTCATAGAAACCAAAGAAATGTAGTTGAAAGGAAGTGGCCTGCCAAGATTGCAGAAGAGAAGAATCTGAATTAGTCCCCAGGTCCCGACTGGGCACCTATTGTGATCAGTTCTAAAATGAGCACGCTGGGATCAGAAACAGATATCCCAAAGAGTTGGGAAGACCAACACTATGGACCTGTTTAGAGGCTCAGTGTCAGTTCAGCTGTGGAGGTGGTTGTTGCCTGCATCCTCCTCAGCATCAGCCCTGGGAAATGATGAAGTCTGAGGGTGAGATTCTTGGATACTAACTCTTGAGCTATTCCTTTCCTGTATAGGTGACTTTGTCTATTAGAACAATCTCTCCTATTTTGTAAACTTCTGAACTTTTATTTTCTGTTATTTTTGAATACTGAAGACATCTCCCTAGAGCACCTCTTTATTGGTCTTCACTCCCCTCACCCTTCCTAAGTCATCTCCAAGTTAACCAGCCATAGTGTTTATACCACTCCTTGGATTGGTAGCTGAAAATTTGCCTCAAATCATAGCACCTTTTGTATTATTTCTTTTTTTTATTATTTTATTTTATTTTATTTATTATTTCTTGTATTTGTGCCTCCTGTAACAAATTACTACAAATTGGGTGACGTTTAAAAATAAACCTTAATTTAGATGAAACTGAAAAAAAAAATAGAATTCATTCTAGGCTTGTTCTATCTTTTGGTGGCTCCAGGTGTTTCTTAGCTTATGTCTGTGTAACTCCAGTTTTCACCTCTGTCTTCACATAGTCTTCACTTCTCTGTATGTCTCTCTTCTTTGTATCTCTTATAAGCATACTTATCATTGGACTTAGGGCCAGGATGATTTTATCTTGAGAGTCTTAACCCACATCTGCGAAGACTTTTTTGCAGTTAACCTGTCACATTCACAAGTTACAGGGAATAGAACGTGGTCATATCTCTTTGGGGATCCACTATTTAGTACATCATCTTAATCTCTCTGTTTTTCAGTGGTCCTTAAACCTTGGGAACTGTGAACCCTTTTGTAAATCTGATAAAAGATATGTAACTTCTCCATAGATAAATAAACACATCCCAATAAATGCATATTTTTATTTAAAATTTCAAGAGATAAAAACTCCACCACCACCACCACCAAAGCCCCCAAGTGTTCTGGAGATACTCAATCTATTGTCTGCATTAAAGCTGACACCCAACACTAATATTCCTTTGTGATATAGTTAATGTAAAACAGACCAGGACATTGCCTCTTTGTTCTAGACAATATACAGAATTCTTCATTCATTAATGCATTCTAAGATTACCTTAAGTATTTTTGGTCACTGAAGTGTTTACTTATGTTAATCACATTGTATATGAAAATTCTTAAGCTACCATCCTCATTGTCATCATCATCATTATTTATCCTGAGCTGCAACAAGTCGCATTTCTTTTATCCAATACTTATGTAGTTGCCAGGGAAGGACCTGACAGTTTTTTCCCTGTTACGTCACATGTTATTAAATTCAGCCTGTCTCTTCAGTCTGTTGAGACCTTTTTGGTTCCTTATTCTGCCATCAAGCATATTGACTGTTTCTTCCAGTTTTGTGTCATCAGAAAATGCAATTTCCAATGATAACCATTATTTCCATGTCGTGAAGTCATTAATAAAAATGATGAACAAGAAAGAGCAGACAGCTGCAGATAGCAGCTGACTACACACCCCCTCCCTCCTGGTTGATTTTAATGCCTTAATTGGGTACTGTTCAGCCACATAATTTTACTAGCATCTGGCTTATATTTTTCATCTTTTCTTCAAGACTGCAACAGCAGACTCTGTAGATGCCTCATTGATATCCAGGTAAATCATGTGCCTCATATTTCCTTCTTCTGTCTGCCTAGTTATCCTACCATAGAAAGAAATGGAATTAATCTGACATAATGTATTTTGTGATCCATACAATAACTGTAAACTATTCAGAGTAGGCAGAAGTGTTTATTTTTTGTTTAGTAATATCCTGTTACTCAGGGTACTCCAATCAAGGAAGACTTTCTAGAGGAGGTGGCATTCAAATGTGAGAGGATTTAGATAGGTTGGAAAAAGAGGGAAGATGACATTCATCAGTTTCTCCCACTGTTTGTTTATTTTTTGATGAGCTCTTACCCTTATTCTCCTCTCTTAAAACAAATAGAAACTTTTTATAAAAGATAAGTGTTTTGTTAAAGATTGAAATTTGATTGACTCATGACCTTTCCATGAACTGAATCAGATCTATTAGTAAATGGTAGAAATACCTTAATATAGACTTGGCATGGATTTATTATATTTGCTACTAAATGTAGCAAGAATGTCATAGAACAGAAGGAATGGCAGAACAGGTACCCCACATAGTACTGGCCACACAATCCAGGATATTCTAACCCCTCAGCTCCTACTAGTCAGGAGTGAGGTAAGGTTCATGCAAAGACCATACAGTTTTACTAAAGGAGAAAACCAGTCTTTCCCTCGAAGTCTGTTTAATTTTTTTTTTCAATGATCTAAAAAGCTTTATTTAATGTGTAAATGATTACTGTTGTTGTTCAGTCCCACCAAGTGGTGTCTGACTCTTTGTGACCCCGGGGACTATAGCACACCAGGCTTCCTGGTCCTTCACAATCTCCTGGAGTTGGCTTAGGCTTATGTCCATTGAGTTAATGATGCCATCCAATCATCTCCTATGTCGCCCCCCTTCTCCCTCTGCCCATCAGTCTTTCCTAGCATCAGGATCTTTTCCAGTGAGTAGGCATTTTGCATCAGGTGGTCAAAGTATTGGAATATTACTTTGAATATTTGAATTTAGTAGCTGAATATTCAGGGTTTATTTCCTTTAGCATCTACTGGTTTGACCTCCTTGCTGTCCAAGAGACTCTCTATAAAGAGTCTTCTCCAGACAACAGTTTGAAAGCATCAATTCTTTGGCACTCAGCCTTCGCTATGGTCCAACTCTCACATCCATACATGACTGTTGGAAAAACCATAGCTTTGAATATATGGACCTTTGTTGTCAAAGTAATATCTCTGTTTTTTAATACACAGTCTAGGTTTGTCATAGCTTTTAAACATTAAAAGTCATTTCCTACAGTGTATTTTAAGTTATATAATCTACAAAACAATTCTTACTGCATTTCACAGGTTTAATCCACTCCACCCCTCCCAAAGCTTCCTCATCTTTCAGATAGCAGAAGGAAATGTCTCTTGAGGGGAGTTAGTATTTTAGGTGTCACCATAAGAATATTTGAACTTGGGAAAAGCAGAATTCAGAGCTAGGACTCTGATTAAGTCTTACTGGGATGGAAGCCATCCAATTCCTTGAAAGACTTCAGTGGGTTTTGGTTCCGGGCATGACTGGTCTCCCCTTTACATCACTGTGATAGATGCCTTGCATTGTAATTATAAGACATGCCACCCGAGTGGAGTATGGGTGATCAGTCTTTTTTTCTATTTTTCTAGAAACGATTGATCATTCATATTTATAGGGCTATCAACTGCTGGACTTTGAAAAGGTCAGTATTGATTATCTAAGTCATGCAGACAGTGTGCTTCTTTGATTTACATAAATATGAGTTCCTTTTATGAGATGATTGATTTTTCAGGGAAGAGGGAGAGGTGATATTCATGTGAGTTAAGTGATGAGAATTTCAACTAAAACATGCTTAGATTCAGTCAGAATTTTGGAGTTGGCAGGATCATACTTTAGATTAGCTAATCCAACCCCCCTCAAAAGACAAACAAACACATAAAGTTTACTTTACAGATCAGAAAACTGAGGCCCTGCCTTTCGACATCAGTGGATATAATAGTAGTGCTTACATTAAGAAGAAGGCTGGCTATATGTCAAATTATGAGTAATAGTTCTACTTGTGTAGAAGATTGTAGACAACTGGAAAAGTTTTTCCTTCTGTATACCTTTTTATACTTCATCTTCTTCCTATAAAGGACATATATTAATTTTGCAACTATATATATATATTTAAAAGCAATTATATATACATATACATATATATGTGTGTGTGTGTGTGATTTTAAATCCACAGTGAATACTGTGTCAGTTGACTCGAGTTGTGTGGGCAGTGGACTTTCCCATCAATGGACTTCCAACACTTGGCTTTGGAAGAATCATTAAAATCCAGGCTCTAATTCAGTCCTTTCTCTCTCTAGTCTTTGCATTTTAGTGACTGACTATGGGACTCTGCTTGTCTTTCTCCTTCCTCCCATAAACGCTTAGAGTTTTTGGCCACTTCAGCCTCCGCTCAGAATGGCAGTTGGTGAAGGTGGACTACAAATCAATCTTCAGCCGACACTGCAGCAAGGAGGACTATCAGACCTGGCACCTGCTCAATCAGGTAGAACACTGGGTCGGGAATCCTGGCTCCTAGAAACAGGGGCCACTGCAAGCCCTGTTTGGCCCCTTTGGGTCTTCCCATTTGGAGGAGGAAAGTAGTGGGCCATCTGGGGATAGTGGTGACTTATGGGGGTGGGATCAGAGCTCATAAGCCAGGCTGAGCAGCGGCGTATGACATTTTGGAGCTGCTGGGCACCCTGGGCTCCTGATCTACTCGTTGAAGTCACCGAGCAGCCTGGACAGAGGTAACAGTGACGGCCTGGGGTTTTAGTGCCACCCCTGAAAAATGAAGTCCAGAAAACCAGCACACCCTCCAATGGTGTGATCATCTTACCTTCTAATGGAAACAGTGTAGCATTTCTCAGACCATCCTGAAGTCAGGGCCCCCGAGCACTGGGAACAGGACCCCAAAGACAGCTGAGGGTCAGGGACTCGAGCAAGACAGCTATTTAGTGCTGTGTAACACAGGCAAAAGGCTTTTGTCTTCGGAACCATCGAGTCCTTGTGATTTGTACCAATTTCTTCTCTTTTTGTTCTTGACTAGGAAAAAGGACTCGGGCATGGTTGTTTATCATAGAGAGGGAACATATTGAGTCTACGTCAGTTTCACTCTGAAGATGATGTGAAAAAGATGCCAACAGTGGGTTACTTTCCACTGGAATTTATGGCAATTCAGGCAATTGCCAAGTGGTCTGTGGGGATGACTGAAGTGTTTGCACTCTCTGTAGAGGTGGGGAAGCAGACATCACTGGCCAGGCTGGGTGGAGGGACAGTAATAGGCCAGTCTCCCACAGTGTTCCTCTTGCCTGGTAGTAAAAGATCAGTCTTTTAACCTTGGATACTCCTGACTGGTTCCTGGGAGGGAGAATTCTACAGAAAGTGACCAAAAGAGAATGCAAAGGCTAATGGCGGCTTATTTCACTGTCTTGTGTGTTCCTGCCTCTCTCACTGTGGACTTTCTTCCTAAGGGGGAGCCTTGCGTCATGGGAGAAAGGAAAATATTCAAGAAACGCAAGCCAGGAGCTCAATGTGCCCTGGGCCGAGACTCCTCAGGGACAGTGGTCTCAGAACCCTGCGTCTGTGCTGACTGGGACTTTGAATGGTGAGTCTCTTTATGTCTCATCACCAGTTCCAGCTGGACGCTGCCTGGTTTGGGGGATGAGCGTGAAGATGAAGTTGAGGAGGTAGGCATGACTCAGCTGGCCCGCCAGCCTGGCTGCCTCAGGTCCTGGCCAGCTGGTGTGTCTGCAGCCCCAGAAGGAGGAGGGGGAAGCTTTTCACAGGGAAGATCATTGTCCTGCCAGAGCAGTGTGTCCAAGGGGACTTCCTTGTCTTCAGTTAGCAGCTGTCCTGGGAAGTCCCGAAGAGGAGGGGCTGGGCGTGGGGAGCTTAGAGAGCTGCCACTGTGGGCAGTCACCTCCACACACATGAGCTCGAACTGCGATCTTTCCAATGAACTCTCTTATCACCATTTCTTTTTTCCTCCCTCTAATGACAACCAGTGACAATGACTTTGGATCTCACCTCCTAGCTAATGACTCACAAATTTCCAGATATTTACCTCCAGCTCCGTCCTGTTGCTCCTCTTAGATGAAGACATTTGTGTCCATCTGTTTACATCTTCCCTTGAACTGCTAACAGGGATTTCAAACTTTATGTTGCCAAGCAGAGTTCTTCCTGAATTCCCACTATGAGAAGCAGTTTTTCAACTTCTCTTGAGCACCCCCAACCCAGACTAGGTTTTCCAAATTCAGTAAAACACATAGACAGCCATTCAGTCCAAATCCCAAGAGAGCTTAATTTTTCCCTTTACCCTCAGGTGCAGGCCATCCAGAAGCCCTTGCAAGTCTCTATTTCCAAAACACATTCCAACACAAAGCACTGCTACCCATGTCCATGGCGATCTGGATCACCCCAACAATTTACTAATTCGCTCTCTATGTCCATTCTGGTCACCTTGAAATCCATCCTTGTTGTTCAGTTACTAAGTCCTATCCAATTCTTTGTGAATCCATGGACTGCAGCACAGCAGGCTTCCCTGTCTTTCACTATCTCCTGGAGTTTGCTCAAACTCGTGTCCATTGAATCAGTGATACCATCCAACCATCTCATCTGTCACCCCCTTCTCCTGCCCTCAATCTTTCCCAGCATCAGAGTCTTTTCCAATTAGTTGGCTCTTTGCATCAGGTGGCCAAAGTATTGGGACTTCAGCTTCAGCATCAGTCCTTCCAGTGAATATTCAGCGTTGATTTCTTTTAGGATTGACTAGTTTGATCTCCTTGCTGTCCAATGGACTCTCAAGAGTATTCTCCAGCACCATCCATCCTTAGAACAAATAAAATTATATTTTAAAAACCTAGGTCAGCTCTTATCATTCCTATGCTTTAAATACCCCAGTGGCTTCCCCTTTCCCTTAAAATATAATATAACCTTCTTTATTTGCTCCACTGTAGATTACTGACTCACTAGCACTGTTCCTTAACTTCTTACTATTCTCTCTTCATTCACCATTTTGCAGCCATACCACTATCTCCTGCACCTTGATTAACCCAGACTCATTCCAAGCAAAGGAAACAACAAGTACAAATATTTCTTCCAAATTTCAGGATGACTGGCACTGTTGGAACACTCATACCTCAGCAAAAACCGCAGCTCAGAAATGCCTTCTGAGACCATCTAACCTCACCCCTACCCTGGCACTCTCAGGCATATCACCCCGTTCAATTGTCATCTTAGTATTAATCACAAATAAGACAGATTGTATTTTTTATTGCTTTATGATTTGCCCATCTTTCCCCAGTAGAATGTAAGTGCTGTGAGTGCAGGAATTTTTGACTTTATTTTTGTATGCTCAGTGCCTCCCCAGTGTAAGGACAAAACAGTTGTACAACGTTTCTGAATGTCGTTTCTTTTAGCAAGGGCAAAAACCTTCCCAAATGTGGGAATGAGTGATCCTATTAGTAACTGCAGAGTGATTCCATGCTAATCCCAATTGGATGAATTCTTCCTCTGTGTCATATTCAAAAGCTGAAGTTCAGTTTATATATTTTCATTATATTAATTATAGGTTAAAAGACAAAGCCAAGGGCTCAGGTAACAGCCTATAAACATGGAAGGGGCAGGACTATGACAGAGTTGCATTATGGTTTTTTTATTGTTGTTGTTTGGTCACTAAGTCGTGTCTGAGTCTCTGTGATCCCCTTAATGGTGGCCCACCAGACTCCTCTGCCCAGGGGATCTCCCAGGCAAGAATACTGGAGTGGGTTGCCATTCCCTTCTCCAGGGGATCTTCCCAACGCAGGGATCGGACCTGTGTCTCCTGCATTGTGGGTGGTTTCTAAATGGTGTTTAATAACTAAACTAAGTCTGAATAGGCACGGAACAGCTGCCCCTGCCCAACAGCCTCATGCTCATTTCATCCAGCTTGTTTCTTGATTTTGTTTGGGTATCCACCTTCCATTTCCTGCTTTCTACTAGGACTATACTCATAGTAGCAATTAAACTAGACGATCATGACTGTTCCCAACCTGCTCTTCATCCCTGCCTTGAAAAGCTTGACTTCAGGAAGAATCATCCAAAAGGATTGTGCTAAGTTGAATTTAATTTTAATGGCAGGATCCTATCTGTGGTATTTTTGACCGTTTGGAAACAAAGGCTATTTTCATACTTGGGGAGAATAATTTTAATTATTAACCATAATCCAGAAGCATAGTCATAGCAGTGTATACAATGGCCCACTCAGATTTATGGTACATGACATATTGATGTCAACCTGAGTATTCAGAATGTCAACATCAGACTTCCTTGTGTCCTTCTGCAGACTGACTCCACAGAGGAACACTGTCTTTCTGTATGTCATGCCACATTTTCTCCTGTGTCTCTCTGAGTTGTTAGACCCTCACCCATTTTTGGGAAACCTCACAGTTGAAGGAAGAATTGTAACATAAATATTTTTCCTTCAGCAATTACTTTAATATTTACTAGTCTGGAAAAAACAAATCCCAGCTCTGATAGTCAATTTCTGACCTTAGGAAATTTTTTAATCTCTATAACTTCACATCCTGGGCTATAAACTGCAAATGTATAGCATGTATCTCATTGGGTCCTAGGGAAGAATAAATGAATTCATATTCATCGTTAATGTGAATAAGGAATTTATCCTAATGGTGTATATAGCTTTTGCTATTGTGGTTATTGTTAATCTTATACCCCAGGGTTAAGTGGTCCCCATGGTACTTTTAGCAAGTAAACTATAACTTATATATCCATATAAGCACTATGTTCAGAGTTGTACCTTTGGGTGTTATCCATTTATTTCAGTGGTGACGGCTTTGCTTAAACTATTTCTAAATGCTTCTTTGGAAACTGCCGTCAAAATGTATCTATAAGTGAAGAAGTGGAGGAAGGGAGCCCTTGCTCTATGCTTCTCAGCTTGCCAATGCAAATACCACCTGGACCTAACACATTGTAATGTCAGTGTCATTACTGTGATATTTTAATGAGAAGAAAATTAGCATCTGGAATATAAATTACTTGACTGAGATCACATAATCTGGGAGAGAAAGAGATGAGAAGCAAAAGCAAATCTAGCCAAATTCCACATTCTCTTCTCTATGTTAGACCGTTTCTCAATAAATCAAACAAGTCTTTGTTATTTTAGATTTACTTTATTTTTCAAAAGAAATGAGTCCCCAAATTTGGTTATTCTAAAATTAAAACTCATCCTCAAATGATCTAGGTTAACTGCTGGTGATGATGTTTAATATAGAATGTGCCATTAACTCTAAACCAATGCCAAATCAACTAGTTTAGGCCATTGGTACTAGAATTATAAAGTCCATGGAGTTGCAAAAGAGTCAGACTTGACTTAGCAACTAAACAACAATAATTAGAATTGTAATCAGTATATGGCATTACGGAAGACTTTATAGAATTCTAAGAGGAGATATATAAGATATGATATGTTTGCCTTTCTATAGCCAATCATGCCTCATTTTTTAAATTTATTTTTTTATTGAAGGATAATTGCTTTACAGAATTTTGTTGTTTTCTGTCAAACCTCAACATGAATCAGCCATAGGTATGCATATATCCTCTCCCTTTTGAACCTCCCTCCCATCTCCCTCCCCATGCCACCTCTCTAGGTTGATACAGAGCCCCTGTTTGAGTTTTCTAAGCCACACAGCAAATTCCCGTTGGCTATCTATTTTACACATGATAATTAAGTTTCCATGTTACTCTTTCCATACGTCTCACCCTCTCCTCCCCTCTCCCCATGTCCATAAGTCATTTTCTATGTCTGTTTCTCCATTGCTGCCCTGTAAATAAGTTCTTCAGTACTGTTCTTCTAGGTTCTGTATATATATGTGTTAGAATATGATATTTATCTTTATCTTTCTGACTCACTTCACTATGTATAATAGGTTCTAGGCTCACCCACCTCATCAGAACTGACTGAAATGTGTTCCTTTTTAAGGCTGAGTAATATTCCATTGTGTGTATGTATCGCAACTTCTTTATCCGTTCATCTGTAGATGGACATGAGGTTGCTTCCATGTTCTAGCTATTGTAAATAATACTGCAATGAACAATGGGATCATACCTCATATTAAAAAGAAAATAGAAGAACTTGAGTCTGAGGTAGGACAAACAAACACACAAGACTTGAGGCTGGCTTAGTTGTCACAATCTGAGAAAAAAAGCCAAAAAAAAAAATCATATGACCTAATAAAGTATTTAGGTACTACTTTTGAATATGGCAAAGAGAGTTTGATTTCTGAAATTTCTGGGATTTTTTTGCTGTTAAGATGATGTCTTGGACAAGGGGCTGAGTATTTATTTTTTCTTTTTAAGTCAACTTCAGTAAGCATAAGTATTAGTCATAAATATAGTTTTTCCATCAAAAACAGTTTGTCTATCATTAATGACTGTGCTGGAAAATCCATGAATGGCAATAGTTTCTTAGTCCTGCTTCCTTCTCAAGGCTCCTTCCTACCAGGAGTTGTTAGCTGAGAAATATGAAAAGCCCAACTTGGTTAGTATAAGCTGTTCTGCATATCCTGCCTAGTTGTTTCCCTGAATCAGATCAGGTAATACTCATTG